TATGAATGCTGCATACATGTTTATTTAATTACGAACACCACGGTATTTTAAAAATTATTTCTTTATTTATAAAAATCATAAATTATGAAATAATCGACATTAGTGTATGAGTTACGAAAACATGTCCGCTAATCCTGAAAAAACCTTGAGCAGTACCAACATATAATAATAAATAATAACTCACGACTTTTCTTGGATAAATTACTGAATCGAAAAAAAAATCATCCGAAACAATTGTCACATTGATTTTTAAAGCTATATTGATTTACCGGTATGCAAATGTGAGACTTTTTTTTTATTTTTAAGATTTTTCCATACTTTTGTAGCATTCTGTTGGAGGTTGCAGAAATCACAATTGTGCAATCAATATGAAGTGTGTACCTGGTCCTTTTGGTGCACATAGGTGTGAAATTGCAGGTAATTTAATACAAAAAGATACACACTCCTCCAAGGCACCTGATTCTGCCTCTGCTCTTTTATTAAAGGTCCTTGTTTGCCCTGTACGCGATTTGAAATGTTTTAAATTGGTTAACTTTGAGCTTAAATACTGTTCCTAATCTCCACATGAATATGTAAATATTGTTAGGCAAAAAGAAATAATACATGTAAAAGAACTTAAATTAATAAAAGGTTTTCGTGATTTTTTAATATGAGGTAGAAAACGTTTGAAAAATATCGCTTTAAGCAAATGTTCACGTTACAGAAATGAAAGTGACTTTATGTATATATTGATTGGCGTTATATATGTAAGACTCCAAACTGCGATAGTCGTGAACGTCAAAGCACAATGGTTTTGCCAAAGATGGAGTGCGTCAAAATCCTATTGCTCTTCAGGGACGCTTATACCCGATGATCAGGCCAAAGTCTGATGGCTTGTTTGAAATGCGAAATGCACTATAGGTAGATCGCGGGTTTACTGTCTGCCTGAAAACATAGGCTAAAATTTGTCAGCTAACTCTTCTCGTTTTAAATGTTTCTTTCTGATTTGTTTTTTAGATTTGTCTGCATGGTTAAAATGTGATCGTTATTCAAATACGCTAATGTTGATGAGAACAGGTGACACCATTTTAATGAAATATATAGTCAAATGCCCCTTTTCTGGCGGTATAAGAATTTAAAACCATGGTAATAACATTAAACCGAAGCTGATGAATTTTATATTACTCGATATAATAAACGTGACGTAAATGTACAACCGATCTTATAAAAAATATGTGTTTTCGCTCAATTTCTTGCAAAAATTTTGATTTTTACAATTTTCCATCAGGAGTATTGTATAAGGAACCACTGTCTAGTTAGGAGAGTATGCCAGGGCATCAACAATAGTGGGAAAGATGGGATAATTTGCATAACGAGCGTGTTTCCCACTATTGTTGATGTCCCTGGCATAATCTCCTAACTAGACAGTGATTCCTTATATTTCCATTTCATTGTGAAATAAAAATATAGATTTAGACTTAAAAATGTAGAGATAGATTTAAATTACACAAGGAATCCCATGCGGATTTCAATAGTCCTCGCCCACTGACGCCAGACACAATGAAGCCGCACGAGATTTACATGCATATTTGGCCTTTTTAGCGTCAAACACAGAGACAGATGCGCACGAGATTTTTATGCGTTTAAGGCCTTCTTAGCTCCTGACCTATCGACCTATCTAATTTACATTCCGGTAGAATTGTCAAGAAATCAACTCCAGTAACTTCCAAAAGGTAATCACAGAGAAAAAAAATAGAAATGGAAATATATTTTCATCACAACGTTATATTACTTTGCTGCGACTTCATAGCTTTCGTATACCTGCATGACTAAAAAAAAAAATGAATTCATCAACAATTCACTCAAAATAAAGCCTGCAATCCATGCAATCCATAAATTCAATTTCCCAGTATAATCATTGCCATAGTTTACCCACAGTGTGGCACAATTTCAATGTCAGGTGTTTTCTATTTCTCTAAATAAACTCAAGAGGGCGGAAAAATCATAACAAATGTCTATAAAGGTAAGAAAAATCACCTTATCGGATTTGGGAACATTTTCAAACATATATACATATATTTCTTGCATTATTTAAAGAGACACTGTGACGCACAAAAGGGGAAAATTTACAGATGTAGAATTTTTGCATGACCCGTGCAAATTTTGTTAAATTCCTAAAACTATTAAAATTACAGGTTTTATAACCTTTTTTGAGAAAAATAAAAGTAAAAATAGTTTCAGTATGCTTATAACAAAAATATTGCAAAATACCCTAGTACTTCTACCTCCCTATTGTACGCGTGCGCAGAAAAGTTGAATAAGATTCCATAGTGACCATTGTCTCAACTTTCCACGAATGAATCTATTAAGACAAGTATACCAAAATGTTTAATGTAATCTTTCTAAAAAGTTGTTAGAACATATTTCTCGTTTTTTCTTGCTCCAGTTGATTGTTGTTTAGAGGTAAAAGCTAAAAATAAAAGAGGCGTGACCTTGACATACATGAAGCAACGAAACGGTCGATACAACCTTTGTTTTTCCGGCACTTATACAGTGCAGTCTTTTCTTGCAATTTAATTGTCACATATAGTTATATACTTATAATATATTTTCATAACCATCAAACTTTGGAGTCACATCGCACTTTGGTGTCCAGCAGTTATAAATCTGATTTACATAATACTTGATTAGTCAATAAAAAACGAAGACTTGCTTTCAATTAACATGCTTAAATGACTAAAGAATTATTAGTTATTTAACCAGAACAGAAATGCACCTCTGAAAATATCACAGGTAGGTTCAGGTGCAATTGTAGAGTAAGCATTCCCTGTCGACTAGTCTCGCACACAATATTTCCTATAGAACTCTTTTGTGTAGATTTTGTATTACATGTAAGGAAAAAAACAATATGCAAAGTATTATTCTGTATCCAGTACAACTGTGTTAGTAGTGTTGAAGGTTGACCTCAATAAATTTTTTAAAAAAATTCTTGACACAATATTAAATCAGTTATCTGCATTCCTGAAAAGAGATCAGTGTTTTTTATTTTACTTTACAGATTGTGGACCTCTTCCTCGCTTTGAAAATGCAAAAGAAATAAAATCAAAAGGACAATTTCTTACAAGTGGTGTTGGTTCCCTTAGAATATTTCAATGCTATCCCTGGACTCATGAGAAAAAATATAGACAAAAAGTTATATGTCAATCAGACGGAAATTGGACACATTATCAAACCACTCCTTGCAGTATGTACAAATATTATAAGTAAAAACGTGTATTCAACAACGTACTTGTAAACAAGTTAACATCATAGTTTCTTTTTCTAGATTTTTTAAAACCAATTCTTAGAGTAGACATATCACAAATAAGTAATTCATCATTATTCAACACGACAGACATCTGAATTTTTTGTCTTCTATTTAATTTGCTCCTGTGAGTTTTTCATTTTTAATCTCCATATATAATATAATATATCAACAATCCTGCTTTAGGCGTTGTCACCTGTGTTACTGAAGTGACGTCGGTAGAGACTCTGAATATTGATAATAAAGAAATTGACGTACCATATATTTACTCTAAGGGACACAAATGGGTGGTAAGTCAATTAACTCTTAAGATCTTATATTATAAAAGGTCATCGAGCTTTTTAAGATTTCAAATTCTGATATCATAAGTAAGTATATTGACACGAAGAACGTATGATTTTAGCTTTACCTTGAAAATAATTTGTATGTTATTTTCTGGATCGAAGTTCAATGCTTCAGAAAGCATGACTTTTCATCTTTTACTTCAGTTTCATATTTAAAGAAAATCACAAGGCAAGATTTGTATTGAAAGCATACTCTTTTTGTATAAACTCTGAAACCCCTTTTCCTATTTATCAATTTGGATTTTTTCATCTTATGTACATTTTTCACGAAATAAAATTTCAGTCTTAACATTCAAAATAATAATTCATCAACAGAATTAGTTTGTATTAAACACTATATTTACACTTTTACTTTCATTAGGTGATACAAAGAAGGTGTTTTGATAACACAAACTTTTATAGAAGCTGGCCCGATTACAAAGATGGTTTCGGTAACTTCAAAGAAAAATCTGATTTTTGGATTGGTATGCCTGAATTGTGAAATAATATGATAAGATGTTTAATTAAATTTCAAGTTTTATCTATCTTAATACTCACGTTTTGAGATTATCTCCCTTGGTGCGCTCTTTCGTTGAGGAGGGAAGTTTCGTTGCCGCGTAAACAAACAGGTGGGACAGTGATTTATATTGGATATATTACAACTTCGATATACCGGTTTATCGTAACTACATATATAATTCTCAGGATGCACTCTTCAACTCAAGAATAACCAAATTATTGTAAAGGCGTCGTTTTTAAAGCAAACAAATCGGAACAAAAAAGATTATATCAGTGGAAGTGAAACTTTTCAGACGAAGGAGGAGATATATGGACCTCTAATAATTACAGTACACATGTATCTTATCATTGCACGTCGGTAATCTAAATGACACATTGATACTTTTCCTTATTGTTATTTAAAAAAAACCACTAACTTTTTAGAAAATGTTTGTACAATCAAGAAAATCTTTTACTTTTTATGAAGACCACGAACGTTTATTTCGTTTGTCAAGTACCCTATAATTGAAAGTAGATTTGTAAAATACATAGTTAAGCTTGATAAAATCATCAAATGCATCACTCCTTAACATCATTATCTTTCTATAACATTAAATAAATTTTTAAAGCCATCAATATCGTTCATTTATATATGCACGTTTGTATATAGAAACAACCTGTCCCACCTCTATGCTGAAATGGATATTTTTTATATATCTATATATATATATATATATATATATATATATATATATATGTATTATATATATATATATATATAAAGCCTATTTTAACTTTGATGTGAAGAATTATATAAAACAACTTACGCAATCATTTTCAATTCATTAATATCTCAGTTTAATTACTTTTAAAAATATATATATTAAATGGAAAACATGTACAATTCTGCAACAGGAAATGACGCAATACACATGTTGGCGAAAAATGGTTACAATTATATGAGAGTTGAGATGCTGAAGACAGACAACGAGCCATTAGAATCAGAATACAGTCATTTCTTTGTCGATGATGAAAGCACCGAATACAACTTAACCATTAGTGGATTCACGGGATTATATGGTGAGAATAATTACTATCATACATATATATATATATATATATATATATATATATATATATATATATATATATATATATATATATATATATATATATATATACATTTTATTATATAATTAATGGATATTCATCAACAACCAGGAAATGGTAAAATTGCGTAACATTAATCATTACGCATCATTTATTATTAATCATTTACAAATAAATAAAAAGATGGACTACAGATTAAATTGCAAGTCACGTAAGGTGCCTAAAGGGGTGAAAACATCCCCTGATAACCAGTTACACGTCCTGAAAACGCTTCAATGTAAGAGAATTATACAATTTCTTTTTTTTTTTTTACAATTGACTCTTTCTTTGGTGAATTTGTTTACTAATTAACCTTAAAATATATGCCCCATTCTCGGTACTGATTAGGTGTGAAGAACGAATTCTGTTTACTGTCTATTTTTGTACCATGCGTATCTCATTACATAATACCATGTTCAAATAAGGTTTTATGATGGTTTCTGATGTTTCTTTCAATTACATTATGTATTTAAGTGTATTTGGTATTGTCAATTTTACAAGGTGTTGACATATTGTGATTGCTTTGTCATTTCATTATTAATAAATGCTCATTCAGATACAGACTTGCTTTTTCATCATTTGCCATGTCAGGTTTCCATAAATATTAATATTGAATGAAAAGAAGCGGATTTTTACAGTTAAAAAGTAATGCATACATTTAAAAAAAGAAGATCCTATAATTGTTTTTATAGAGTCATTCGTGAGGAATTTGACACATTTAAAAAAAAAAGGAAATTCTTTTCAAAGTTCGCTAATATCGACCATGTTAACGCACTTTGAAAAAAATGTGTATAGCTTGATCGACATTCTTACAATTATTCGATATGAAAAATGATTTTTTTTTTTTGTGATAAGGTTACTTGAGGACCTGAAGTATTTAGGTTTCGATAAATGTTACAGGGAAATAGGACTTTTAGAAAAAAAAGAAAGATGATTGTTTAATTTATGATTTTTTTTTTTAAATTCTAGTCTGTAATACCTTCGGTAGCTGTAGGAAGGAAGGGGGATTGGGTGTGGCTAATAGTTAACTAAAAGTGAACTTATTTATTGAAAGTTTTCAACGTCATTCCAGTAATGTAAATACATATCCATGTATGGATATAACATTGGCATCGAAACCCAGCGAAGGGCAAGAGGAGGGATGCTGAGCCTCCGGTTTTTTTTTTTTCGAAGATATACATCATATAGGCATTGAAAGTGCGGCTTGTCCCTTTTTAAGTTTATCTATCCTATTTATTGGCTTTGAAATATAAAGAGCTGGGCCGAGAGACTCTCTACCTGTCAAATCCACTACACGGGAGTAAATCAATACAAATCATAATTTTTCGAAAGATAAATAACAGATCAAGGCATTCTATTACTAAAAATCCAGAATTTTTGTTTTAAACATTTTTTTTTCTTCAAAGTGCGTTAAGTGTTTTAATGGGAAAATATAGAGATGTAAACTCTTGACGCACTATGAAAAACAAATTGAGTTTATTCCAGTTTTAAGGAGGCTGGGGGTCAACAACTTAATCACAAATTAACCACCAGATTTAACTTATTTTTTTAGATACAGTATCTTAAGCTGTCAATTATCATTTGGCAAAGAAAAAAATTATACATTTAGTTTAAAAATTTGATCATTTTTGTATATCTTTATATGGAGCTCTTCAATGGAGATTGAAATGGTCTAAAAATGGCTGCCATCCCCAGCCTCTTTAACGCCCTTTGAGTGTTGATTTTATCCCAATTTTAACGCACTTTGAATTTTGTTTTCAAAATGTGTAAATTTTTAAAGTGCGTTGCCACACTGCATGACGTTACGTTTTTTAAATGAACGAACAAGCAACTTATAACTTCCTTGCTGCATGTACCCCTCCCCTGCATTTAAAACATTTAAAACGTTTTGAAATATTTTAATTTGTAGTAGACTTGGTTTACATTTTTTTCTGCTCATATACACAGCTTCAGTCAATAGTTAGAACCATTGTTTTCAATGAGTTTTTTTTATATAAATTGATGGTGAAGTCTCAATACTGCTGGTGCTAGCTCACTGGACCTCCATTGAATGCTGTGGAGTCATCATTGTTCGTTGGGAACTAATATTCGTGGCTTTCGTGGGAAACCCTCAGCCACAAATTTTCATCCCCCACGAACGTATACACAACAACTGTAAACCAACTTTTAATCGCGACGACTTTATTTCGCGATTTACCGAAATTAAACTAGTTCGCGACGATTAATTTTCGCTATCAAGCCTTTTTATCAGTTGTTGAAAGACAAAGAGACTTTCAGGACTGGTTCGCGGCGAGAAATATTTGCGATGCGAATAAAAGTTTGTTTACAGTATTTGTTTAATTATTCATTAAAAAGTTTTTGGCTACCCACATACATTGACCCCTACCAATAAATGTTTCCACAGCATGGCTTCCGATTCAGTGAATATATACTGTTATGAATCGTTCGCTTTTGTTCCAATTATTTAATGGTTATTTTAAGATTATACCTGTTATAATAAATTTGCATACAAAGTCCTTAAAACGAGATCATAAAATCTACTAAATCCTAATATAAAAAGACTCTTTTTTTAATTTTCTCTGAATCAGTCAATCCGTCAAAAGCCTTCCGAAGTTTGAAAATATATCATATTTTGAGCATGCTCTTGATTATCGAATAAGTTGGGAGATGTAAACAACGTACGACAGTGGTTGGGGAATCTTTACTCCTTAAAGAGTTGACTATGGAAAAGCTCTTTGTATCTCTTTTATTTACAGCTTAGTTGTTAGTGCAGTGGTTAGAGCTTCTGCTCTCATGTCGCGAATTAAGGAGTTGACCTACTGCGTGACGTGGAGATCGGTCTTTTGGAAGAGACCGAATAAACCGAAGTCCCGTGTGTCAGTAGGTGCTGGCACGAAATATACTGTATATAACTCCTAAGATGCTAAATTGCCCTGAGTGTCGAGTAAATGACATAATTTTCAGCTCTCCACAGGCAAGTGGTACATGTAACATCTCCATGGGAATGAACAATTCTCGAAAGGGACATTAATCAATATACAGTAAATCGATCTAAATTCCAATGGAACACCTACGAAGAAACTAAAAGTTGTCCTGCTCTCAAGTCCAAGAAAATATTTTGTTAGACCGAGCATTTTGATCCATCTTTTACATGATTAAGCAGATCACGGAAGCATAGTGGAAGAGGGTTAGCTTCGTGATCAGGAGGCCTGGATTCTTGTTTACGGCGCTGTGTCAAACCTTAAAAGTAAACATAGGTACTGACTGTTCTCTTGCCAAGCCCTCGGTACTAGAACTAAAGTCACGGGTCTTTCGGATACGACCATAAAGATGTACGTCCCATGTCACGTTGAACGCTGGCACGATAAAGAACCCTCACTGCTAAGTGGCCCTCAGTGTGGAGTATAGGTTTAAATTTGAAGTTCTTCACCGGCATACGATGGCGTCTCTGTATGAGCAAGAGTGAAAAAATCTCGAATGGGACGTTAAACAATATACAATGAATCAACATGTTTAAGAAAGATTTTTATGAAATATACTTTACTATGCACTATGCTTTAATGCTGTGTACAAATTTACCTCCTTCATAAAAATTGAGACATGAGAATAAAAACGATGCTTTTTATACAACTTTTTTTTTGTTGGGGGTGTACATTTTGTAATTTTACTTAGTAGAGTACAGTTATAGCTTGGTTTATTAATCCTATTTGTAACACATATTTCATAAATCTTTTAGATTAATATACACTCTACATTAATTTATAATTTCCTGAGAATGGTCTATGACTTTAGTATAAATATTGAGTTAAAAATATTCAAAGAAAATGAAACAATCATGCAATATCAATTTTGACAGTTTTTTTCTTCCTCTTTTTTTAATAAAATTGTACATGTACGTCTATATTATAGATAAAAAAATTGATATTTTAGATTGTATGACAAACAAGATTCATAACGCAGCAGATGCAAATGGAATGAAATTCACAACATTTGATGTAGACAACGATCAATGGAACAGGAACTGTGCTGATCATTGTCAATCAGGATGGTGGTTCCATTCTTGTACTTGTGGAAATCTTAATGGACTGTTTGGAAGTGAGAAAACAGCTTCTGTGATGCGTTGGATGTGTGCAGATGAGTGGATATGTCCCCTCAAAGCCACCAGAATCCTGCTCCACAGAAATAAAATTACATAAAACATGTTCTCTGCGTACTATTGGTTTGTACAAAGTATTAGAAAATACTGAAAATGAATCGTTACCTAAATGATTCGCTGTTTTACTGGATATATTAACGAGGTTGACTCTTGAGCTTTTGCGCAGATATTTATCTTAACCTATAAGTCAAAAAATTGTACAGATTAGTTTAATTCTTACGATAAATCTGGATTGTATAATTGAAATAATTTAACTATATTCAGTTTAAACGCCATGATTAAATTGTATACCAAAAGCATTACGTGAGAAACTATATTTTATTGCGGAAGGTTATTTTAAAAAATGCTCCTTTTGTTCTCTTTCTTAATATTTATAGTATGTCAATTTTGGATTCCCACATGTATTTTCCATGCACCCAGCCCACAGAATTATTTTGTGCAATGACTGTTTTATACTGGTCCTAAAGTATCTATTAAATAACCAGTCATGAATTCTATCATCTTATTTAATAAATAAAGCAAATATATTGTGAAAATGAAGAACAACTTAGCCCCAATTTAAGCTTAAAATAAGCACTATTTTAGTTATATCTTATCCACTTTGTTTTGACTTTTTGGTAAAGCTATGTTAAAAAATTCTAGAAATATACTTGATAAGATATTCCCATTACTTTTGAAGGCAGAATCGAGCCTCTTTAATCTTCCTTATTTTCATCTTCTACAAAGTAAAATATGTTTAGGCACTTTTTATGAAAATTAACAGAAAAGATTTATTAATATCAAAATAAATGGTAAATTATATTAACAGGTAACTTTGATAACAATTTTTTTTAGGTTTTGTTGTCTTTTTTCACATTTCACAAACTACAGCAAGAAGCATCAATCATTCTTTGTTTATGACCAGGGAGATGAAAAGTGAATTTTCTTTTAATTATTTTAAACCCTAGCTAGTTATGCATTTTAACACCATTTTTTACAAATTCTCATAAAGATTCAAAGAAAACAATATAAGCTAACTAAGATTATATAATCTTAATCTATTGAAAAAATCATTCTTAATTGGGTGAACCACTGATTTTGCAAGAACGAGAAGAGTTTTCAGTATTTTGCTGAAAGCTGTAATTTTTCCTCATTGCATGGAATTCAGTTCATTCCAAAATCCGACCTTTGATACTAAGACATACTTTTCAAAAGACAGAATGCATGCAAATTATTTGATCCTACGCCTTTAATACTCTAGATATTTCTGAAAATATTAAGCACAGTTTTTGATTTTCTTGATAAATGCAAAAAAGTACGTGTTAATCTAAAAATAAAGTTGTACAAAAGCTATTTGCATTCATGGTTATACGAACCTAAATTTTCTCATATTTATTTGCTTATTTTAACAAATATATACGCAGCACTGTTAAGGCTTACTATGAGAAATCAAAGGAAAATAGAAGTGCAAAATCGGGAATTGGTTTTAAAACTGAATTTATTTTTATTTAGCTGTTTTATTATCACAGAACCTAAATACTTATGGAAATAGCATAGTATAACCTACTCTGAACTCTATGGAGTTTGGTCCAATCGATTGGCAGTCACGTGATAAATGTATAGTAGGTACAAGGAATGTAGGTCAATAACAAATTTCATTATCGCAAGGGCATACCCTAGTTGAAATTAAAAATTCAAGCTATGAATTGTTTCTGCATACTTTGTACTTTCTGGAAAGTGCTGCTACTTTGAATAGAATTCGCATTTTAATAGTTAAATTTTTTAGTAAATAGGCCCATGTCGAAATATGTTTGACTTTTACGAAATATTTTGTGCATTTATAAAGTCATGCTCTCGATTAAAAGAAAGCAGCAGCACTTTTCAAGTTAAGGAACATATCCTTTATTTAAATTAAAAAAAAAATGGTCAAGATTTATTTAGTGTATGCCCTTGCGAAAGAGCGATTT